TAACCAATCAAAGACCTGAGGGGGTCATGGGGGATGGGGTCACCCCGGAGAGTGTCCGAATCATTTTTGTCACACAAAATATGTTAATGTAGCATTTTGTATATATATATATATATTTTTTTTTAAGGTTTAGACTGCCATGTGCACTTCTTACATTGAAGAAACACCAAATGACAAGGAGATAATTTAGGGTAAACATACATTGCTCATGAAGCTACTTTGAATAGGAGTAAGATTTGTTTAGTCTTGTTTTCCTTTCATTTTTTTTCCTTTGTTTTTGTTTTTGTTTTTGTTTTTTGTATTTTCGAAACAAAAATAATAAAAAGTTTAAAAGTACCTATCTTTTTATTTGTGTAAAAACATAGTATTCAATTTAAAAGTGTTTTCTGAAAAATTGGATATTTATAAAAAAAAATTCAAAAAATTTATTTTGGAACAAGTATTTTTAAAAATAGAAACAGAAAACAATACCAAAGGCATTACTCGTTTGTAAAAAATTTTAAGAATGCAATTTGACGTGACAAATCCATACAATGCTTTTTTTTAAAGTAAAAAAAATAAAAAAAAATTTAAGAAGAAAAATAACAAATTAACTTCAAGCTGGTGGTAACGAGACCTTATAGGTCCTGTTTGGAAACTTATTTTTTTTACTGGTCAAAAACTACAAAAAATTAAAATGTCAAAAAGTTATTAAAAAAAAAATATCTCAGTAATTCAAGATTTTTTGATACAACTGAAAAAATTATTTTCAAACACATTAACTTTTTTCTATTTTATAAAAAAATAAAATTTCAAAAAAATTATTAAACAAGTAAATTCCCAAACAAGGCTTTGCTTTAGCAACCACTTCAAGTTTATTGTTAAAGCAAAGTTTTGCGTCCGTGGTTCAATGATCCAAATATATATTCGTGTGGGTTTGGATTTTCTTAACTTGGCTATCTAATTTGAGAGACCAGTTAAAGTTAGTGAGCTCGTTTTTGGATTGAATTCGGTGATCTAAATTGTTTATTTTTTAAAGACTTGTTATGTAAATTTTTCATACAAAAAATTAAGATGATCGGATATCTGTAACTATATATTTAAATCATATTTATCTTAAAAAAATGAATAAAAAATATAATTTCAAAAATAACCATCAAGCATTTTCATTTTGTTGTGTTTGTCTAAAAAAAGGGCTTTAAAAACAAACTCACCATTTTTTTGAAGACAAATGTAATAAAATAAAAATGTTACGATTATTGGATTGTCTTAATTTTTTCATGAATGATATACATTGAGGGCTTTACAAAATAATTATTCGGATTATCGAAACGTGACCTATAGTGGACCTTACGAGACCCTCAAGTTTTCTATGGTTTAAATTTTAATGAGAGAAGCTCAATTCTTTTTGTAAATTATAATACAAGTTAATGTAATGGGAAAGAGATCAATCAAAAGGTGTATACTATATGCACCTTATTATATTTTTTTGTAGCGTATTACGTATTTTTATAGTAAATATTACATATTTTTCTGATAGGAGTTATGACAATTTATGGTTAAAAAATGAAGTTAAGCATTTTTTAGTAGTATTACGCATTTTTGTGGTATTGTAACATATTTTTTTATCCAAACATTTTCTAACTACAAAAAGTGTAACAATAACACAAAATACAAAATATCACCATAAAAATATGTAACTTCAGTTCTCAACCACAAATTATTGTGTAACTTTTATCAAAAAAAAATATAATATTACTACAAAAACACATAACGTAAATCACAAAATCACGTAACATGATGCACATAAAGGGGTATGTACGAATTTGGGGATCCTGCTGTACCTTTGGGCACAGCAGGCTACTGTGCTTCCATATGGAGTGTCATCTCGAGTCTCTTTTGATAATCTGAATCGTTCATATTGTACGGTTCGTCAAGCAGATCATCCATGCAAAAAATTAAATTGATTGGATATCTGTAACCCAATAACCAAAGCACATTTGTTTTTATAAAAATTAACGGTGAACATAACTTTTATTAATTTTTAAAAACAATTAAGACCTAATCATGGGGTTATGAATATCTGATTAACTTAATTTTTTACATAAATAATATTCTTGACGAACTTTATAATATGAACGGTTCAAATTATTGAAAAACATTCGGGACAAACTCCCACAAAGGAGCACAACAGGCTGCTAGGCCTTGAAGGCATAGCAGCATACCCATACCCGGTATGTACCACAGAACTAGGAGTGTAAATTTGGCCCATTGGCCTAGGCTCGAGCCCAGCCCAAGACCCTAGGCCTGAGCCTAGGCCTAAGTCGTCTATTTTGAAGCTCAATCTGGCCCGTGAGCCCGACCTGATTGGCTCGAAATTTTTTGTAATATTTATTTCATTTTGTAATAAAAATTAGTTGTTAAATGTTATCTATTTAATTTAATGATTGTAATATTTTGTTTCATTTTGTTGTTGATAAAATTATTCATTTCATTTTTGGGGGGGAAAAGACTATATACGCACTTTATAATTAAAGAACAAAATAGTATAACTTCATATTTTTTTAGTCATAACTAAATACCACATGAAATATAACCAAACATTTCATCAATCATAGCTAAAAGTACTATAATACAAATTTTTTTTAATTATTTTTATCCCTCATAAATAATCTATATATATAATATATCTATCAATTATCTTTTGCCAAAAAAATACCCATGAGGCCCAGCCCGTGGTCCTGTTTTGAGTGGGTTTGCCTTACTAACTAGCAAAACATAAGTTATAACTAAATACCACATGAAATATAACTTGACATCTCATTAATCAAAACTAAATACTATAAGTCATACTACTAAAGTTTCATTTGGCATTGGCTAATATAACCAACTTTTTTATATTGAGATTTTTTTAGCCTGACTTTTTTACCCTCGTTTGGTTTGAATTTTTTGATTTTTTTAACTTTTGTGAGAGAAAAAGTATAATGATTATGGATTAGATATGATATTTTGTCTTATTAACTTATTTAGCCTATTTTGTCATTTTGTGATTTTTTAGTCCCAAAATGATACCCAAACCAGGGCTAAATGTAACCCAACATCTCATTAATCATAACTAAAATAATATATATAAGAAAAAAAAACCTATCAAACTCGGCCTATGACCTTAATTTAAGTGGTCTTGGACCTGGGCCTGAGCTTAAATTTTTTCCATGTGCCCTAACCCGATTTGAATTTTGGCGAGAGCCCTCATGGCCTGACAATGAGTCAGGCCAAATTTACACCCCTACATAAATTTTCCTAATATATTTATCTAATTATATAAGGAGTAATACTACCGACCCGAAAAGTTTTACTAAATTTTTTACAACTCACATCTAGGGCTGTAAACGAACCGAGCCAAGCCGAGCTTTGCTGAGCTCGAGCTCGGCTCGTTTACTTATCGAGCTCGTTTATTGAGCTCGAGTTCAGCTCGATAAAGAACTAGGCTCGAGCTCGACTCGGCTCGGCTCGTTAATTTTAATGAAACTCAAGCTCGGCTCGGCTCTATAATTTTTTTTAATATTATTTATATTATTTAACTCGTTTATTGAGCTTGAGCTTAGCTCGATAAAGAACTAGGCTCGAGCTTGGCTCGTTAATATTAATGAAATTCAAGCTTGGCTCAGTTCGATAATTTTTTTTAATATTATTTAATATATTATTTAAATTATTTAATATATGAATAATATATTTATTATATAATTTAAATAATGATAAACGAGTCGAGCTTATATGAGTTCGAACTCGGCTTGTTTACTAAACGAGCCTAATATTCGAGTTCGAACTCGGCTCGTTTATTAAACGAGCCGAGCCGAGCTGAGCCGAGCCTTTAATGAGCCGAGCCGAGCTTGTTCATGAACAGCTCAGTTTATTTACAGCCCTACTCACATCATGTGAATCTCATACCTATATAAGACATTTAATAAAAAATTTAATAAAATTTTCAAAAGTTCTACCATTTTTGTTATATAAGTAGTTAGTAAATGGTTTGTCCGCATGTCACACTGCTTTGAAGGTTCATGAATTTGGGAAATTAATTAGCTTGTGGTTTTGACGACTCCTTGCCTATGGATTGTCCGATCATAGCTTCATCAATAAGCCAACATTGACGTTTCTATGGACTTTTCTGAAGTAGAGTAGATTATTTATTAAGGCTGCCTTTTGATTTATGGATTTTATATTAAAAAAATTGTGAACATTAATGGAGAATAACTTACAAATTAGAATATGAATTTTAATGTTGAATTTGAGAGTCTTTTTTATCATGATCAATTTAAAAATTAAGGCCAAGTTACATATACCTCCCTCGAAATTTAGTTAAATTACAGATACCTCCTGAGATTTCAAAAATTACAGATACTCATGAGGTTTATATTTCATAACAAATTACCCCATGAAATTTATATTTTCATAACAATTTGTCCCCTAATTTGTTATGCAAATATAACCTTCAGGAGATATCTGTAATTTCTTAAACCTCAGGAATATCTGTAATTTTACTAAATCTCGAGAGGGTATATGTAATTTGCCCTTAAATTAACAATGTAAATGCTATTGTTTGAAATCCTTTGTACAAATAATTTTGTACAAAGACAATAACATAGTTTTCTTTTGTTTGTTTGTTTTTTTTTTTAATAAAGTATTCTGTTTATAATAAAAAATCCACTATACTCCAATAAAGTTGAACTTTAAATTCTTTCATTTAAAATTCATTTATCCAAACTTAAGCTAACTATTCACGATCTCAGAATATAGGGCCATACTAATGAGTATATTGACAGCCCAATGGGTTCTCTCAATAAAGGAAAAAAATGTCACAAAAAAAAAAAAGCATATCATAATTGCAGAATTTTTTTTACAAAAAGGTAAAAAAGTTTATAAATATTAATAATTAAAATTATAAAATGTTTCACCTTTTTGTAAAAAAAAAAAATTCTACACCCCACTTACATGTAATTTCCCTTACTTTTTACACATTCTAAAGTAAATTTACAAATTTTTACACATTTTAATACAGTTTTTACACTCGAAATTATACAATCTTTGGCCCTTTATTAATATTTCTTGTAAAAACACCTTTGAGCCACTTTATTCTCAAATAGGTTTAACAACTCCATACTATGTTTTTGGCCAGGTCTTCCTTCTAGACAACAAAGAGTGGCACAACTACATAGGTCAAAAATGGAGGATGAAGAAAATAGGCTGTAGGTTGATAGTCGATGGGATCTAGTTTTTTAAAAATTTAAAATCAATTAAAAATAAATCATGTGACCATGAGTTCAAAGGCACCAAACAACGAACATGCATTTTTTTTTGGAACACAAGATCCTGTGCCCAGCTATAAAATTAGCAGATTCTGTAAAAACAAATTCATATAAAATGATGAACGCGACTAATTAAACTAGATGTTTTGGCAAGTTGGAACTATCTTCTTGCTGCGCTAACTCTGTCGCATCTTCAGCCCTCCAGAAATCGTGTTCAACTCTTATGACATCACGAGAAGCGAGAATTGTCAAAAAGAAAGCGTTCACTTATTTCAAATTCCTTAAGTCAAAATTTTTGCAAGTGGAGAGAGAGATTTTTCAAAAAAATAAAAAATAAAAAATTTGGAGCGAGTCAAAATTTTTGCAAGTGGAGAAAGAGATTTTTCAAAAAAAATAAAAAATTTGGAGCATGATGGATTGATATATACCACAAGTTTGATAGAAGAAAAGGGCTGCTTTCTTTTTGTTCAACACAAAGGCCAGCTGATTGAGGGATTCTGTTTGAGAGGTTCCTGATGTATCAAAATGTGTCTTGGCTGCCTGTAGGCATCAAGTCCAACATGAAGCATAAATTAAAAGATCAAAAATTAATATAGGACATTGAATGGTTCAGTAGAATCTTAAACAGAATGTTACCTTCAAATAGAATCAGTTATCATGTCAATGGGTGGATTGAAGATTTTTTTTTGAACTCAGGCGGATTAAAGATTGGTTGCTTTCCACGAAGAGATCTGCAGAAGTAAAACATGAGAATTGAACAATCCTAGGAGAGCTAAAATGAGGTCATTTACTATTGCTTACAATTAAGTGGAATGGAAAGGTCAGATGAGCTAATTACCGTTCTCAGGTGTCAGGCCATTTTCAGATAGTCTAGCTAACTTGAAATTCAGGTCCGGTTGCTGCCATGAATTCTCCTCAGCTACTGGTTCAAGGCCACTCCAACTGTGTCTAGATGAAGCATAAGGCCTTTTCTTGTTGGACCTGAACAGTTTGAACTTCTCATTCAAAACCAAGCACTAAATAGTTTTGATGAGGCACTAGAATATAGTGATTATGACTCATCAAAATAAAATTTCCCCTAAAATTTCAGAGACAGCTAACACAAACAATTTTTTGTCAATCACCTTACAATTACATGGATTCACAGTGGGAGTAGTGTAAGAACAAGTGTACATTTATGTATGTATGTAAATGACACTACTAACCTGCCTGAATTAACATTTGAATTATTTGACAGGAAACTATGCCCAGATCCTGAATTGGGAATAGATTTTACTTTGTCTCCTGTGGTAGAGTTCAGCCATGAATATCTTGATCTTAAAGAATTGTGAGAGAAGAGAGAGATGATAAGAAGATAACGTACCAGAATTTCCAGGCGTGACCATCACATTGGCCTCATTCACCCTCACACCATTGTTCCCAAGGTTGTTGCTTAGCCCCAGTATGAGGACTTCAGGTGGTATCTCGTTAGTTTTGAGATTTGTCCGAAGCTTCTCTCTGGAAACTCCCAATGATTGGGAGCCAAGTCCACTGTGAAAATCTTCAAAAGGCTTCACATTCAAGAATTTTATCAGAGAGAGTACAGAATGTTTGTTTTTGGAGATGCTGAAGTAAAAGATTAATAGATTGGCTTACAAATCCCAATGGATCATTATAATGTGCTTTGTTAGGTTTTTATTCTTAGCCCCAGTATGAGGACTTCAGTTGGTATCTCGTTAGTTTTGAGATTTGTCCGAAGCTTCTCTCTGGAAACTCCCAATGATTGGGAGCCAAGTCCACTGTGAAAATCTTCAAAAGGCTTCACATTCAAGTATTTTATCAGAGAGAGTACAGAATGTTTGTTTTTGGAGATGCTGAAGTAAAAGATCAATAGATTGGCTTACAAATCCCAATGGATCATTATAATGTGCTTTATCTGGTGGTGACGATGAAGAAGGTTCTGGAGGCTGGGGTGGGATTTCCTCCCTGCATCCAATTGTAGATTAGTTTTACCTTTTTATTCTTTTAATAAAGATAATTCTAAGAGCTACCATCATAGAACTCTGACCAGAAGGAAAATCACAGGTAGGTATGGTACTTCTCATCCATAGTACCAAAAGACGTGCTGGATAATGTATTTCTCTATTTCCAGTTGTGGAAAGCCCACAGATTAGTGCCACAGGAGGCAATTCCATGAGGTTTCCTATCTTTATGGTAGACGTGGCGTCATAGATCTGAAATGAATAAAGCATGAAAGCATTTTATTGGAAGAGTAATTTGCCTCAATCGAATTTAAATAACCCACCAAGTCTATGCATATAGAATGGAATAAACTGGCAGGTGCGTATCAGAGCATGCCTTTCTCTTTCTTCCTCTTTTTGACACAATATCAGAAGTTCTCTAAAGCCAAGATTGGTATATGTGACTGGGGATGATAGTTTGTTCATAATCCATGGCAGAGGCCGCTGACTTTCTTGCTTCGAGTTGGTCCTTGCCTCTGGTGATCCTGCTGGGGCTATGACATCACATGCACATTCCAGGTTTGTTAATTTATTTTGAATCACAAATTTGTTTTAATTTTCACACATTGTTACAGTATTTACATATGTTCTAAACCTGTCAAAGGGGGCCTATCCAAAAGCCAGTATTGGCATTAAACAGGACCTAAACTACTCAAGAAACTGATCAGGTTATATATGAATGATTAATGACAAATTAACAAATTTCTTGCTATTGTTACACCGTTACTTACAGCTTGATTTGCTGGATTATTATCTATCTGATCACTGTAGATACCCGATTGTGTAGTTGGCTTGAGAGTGAGTTGACCTGATTTGACCACATTCATGCATAGCAGATTTCAGCAGCAAAAGCCCTCATTGATCAGCCAGCTTCATACTCTGCTACCAATAGTCCCCACAGGAGCAAATTCCATTCCTGAAATGATGATAACGGATTGGATCCCTGATAACAATGTTCCGATGCTCCATCTTTGCTACGAGTTTGGCAAAGACATGACAGTCCCCGCAGATCCTGAGGTTTTTCCTGATCCTAATAGTTTTCTCCCTCGACAAGCTCATCATACCAAACACTATTGCCAGTTTCTCACTGTGGTAAGAGAGTGAGTCTTCCTTCTGTTCGCCTTCAAGATCTTGCAAGACAAAATTTGTGTCAGGAACATAACCCAGTTCCTTTAATCTCCAAATGAACTGGTCCAGTTCCATCCTGATCGCTCCGATTTGTGGGTGTGACTTATCTCCTAATATGAAAGCATGGATCTGTTTATCTACTTCAATCCAGCTGCAACCTGGTTCCTTCCCAACCCCTCGACCCCTCATAGCCCTCCTCACTTCTGCAACATCTTCCCACCTTTGAGAGTTAGCATAAATGTTGGACAAAAGTATGTAGGTTCCTGCATCATTAGGCTCGAGGTTTAAAATTTTCTTGGCAGCATATATAGCAAGATCTGTGTTGCGGTGAACCCTACAAGCGCCAAGTAAAGCTCTCCATGTCACAGTATCTGGTTCACATTCCATTTCATGGATAAGCTTAACTGCTTCATCAAGCTTTCCAGCCCTTCCAAGGAGATCAACCATGCAGCCGTAGTGCTCTCTTCCAGGATCAATCCCAAAAAACTTGTTCATTGATTGAAAGTAGTACTGCCCATCTTCTACAAGCCCTGCATGACTACAGGCAAACAGAACCCCAAGGATTGTAATATAGTTTGGTTTGGTCCCTGAAGCTTTCATTGACTCAAACAGTTGCAGTGCTTTGCGACTAAAACCATTTTGGGCCAAACCCATGATCATGGTACTCCAAGATACGACATCCGTCTCCACCATCCGACTGAAAACGGAGTTGGCATCTTCCAGACTGCCACACTTGCAATACATATCAAGAAGAGCATTGTTGAGGATTAGATCTTGATTGAACTTGAGTACATGAACATGAATTTGTCTCCCCAATTCCAGAAGTGCTAGACCAGTACATGCTCTCAATACGCTGGTTAGTGTCCCTTGATCAGCCCAAAACCCAGCACGCTTCATCCTCTTAAAAAGATTCAAAGCCTCATCACCATCGGTGTTCTGAGCAAAACCACCAATAATAGAGTTCCAAACAACCAAATCGGCAGTTACCATCTCATCAAAAACGCGCAGGGAATTATGCAATGCACCCCATTTAGAGTAAATATCGATGAGGGCACTGCGAACAAAGACATCAGAGTCTAAGCCGGTCTTGATTATACTAGAGTGGAGCTGTTGAAGGTTGGGTAAACCATGGGAGGCTCTCAAAACAGAAGAGTAAGTGAACATGTTAGGCCTGACACCGTCTCTAAGCATGAGAATCAAGAATTGCAAGGCCTTGTCGTGGTGGAGCATAGCATTAGCGTTAGCATAGGCAGATATCAGAGTTGTCCAGGAGACAACGTTTCTGTGGGGCATTTGATCAAACAAAGCTTGAGCATCATCCAAGAGATTAAATTTGACGTACATGTTGAGGAGGATGTTAATCAAGAAGGTTGCGGGGCGGTGACCGTGGGAGAAAAGGTGCTTGTGGATGAGCCTACCATGGTGGATGGCACGGTGGGCCAAACAGCACTTGACAAGCTCAGAATAAGTGATGGAGTCGGCCCATAATTGGTGTTTTTGCATGGATTCCATGGCTTTCATGGCCCTGGGGAGGTCTCTTTGATAGCAGAATCTAGTAAACTCGTCAATTAACAGAGACAGAGATGGCGAGAAATCGGCTGTGGCTGTGGCCATGGCCGTGGCCGAGTATGGACGCAAACGTAGCAGAGTACAAGTGGAGAATGAACAAGAAGAGGTCCAATATTGAAGGATGAAGGGAGGAGTGGGTTTCATCCTCCTGATATACATACTACCGGAGTAGTATACTATGGTACACATGCGAAAATGACGCAATTTCATACTTTCACGGTCATAACCAATCAACAACATAAGGCATAACTAAAATAAGTTGGTAATTATAGAAAAAAATGGTAGTAGAATTTCCCTTAATACATATTACATTACATTATACATCCCCCATCTAATGCTAATCCCCTTTTAGGTTTAGCAATGATATCATTCATCAACTAAAATTGCTCAGAAAGTATGAACCAATTCACATTCAGTTCAATCGCACAAATTACCGTCAATATGAGCTAATACGCAGAACAAACAGAGGTACAAAGAAATTGATATTCAAGTAACGGAGAGCGAGACAGAGAGAGAGAGAGAGAGAGAGTTTACAGTAATTTCGATCAATTGGTGTTAAATGATGAGAAGTAAATAGGAAGGAAAACAAAATTTGAAAATCACCATATCTGTCCTAGAGGAGCTTTCCGAGCCAGAAGCTGGTGAGGATACAGCATTTGATCGTTGTTCAAATCTACGACACTTCAAACAGAAGACAGAGAGCTATAAGAATGAGAGAGAGGGTGAGGGAGAGGGAGAGAGAGAGAGCCGTCAATGGCGTTAAAATGGGCAAATTTCCCTCACTAGGGTATGTCCAAGACTATTGTTACTTAACAGTATGTGTGGCACTGAGGAGAGAAAGGAAAGAAAAGAAAAGAAAAGAAAATATTACTTAAGTTGCCAGGGAAAAGAAAAAGGAAAGAAATAAGTGTGATTTTTCTTCTTTTTATTTGGACAAGGAAGAAATAAAAAAAAAAATAATTATAATTTCTCTCATTCTTATTTAGTTAGATTTTATTAAGAGAAAGGGAAAAAAATTATTTTATGTTATATTATCAAAATAACTTTTTTATATTTTTAATCATTTTATTTCTTTTATTTTTATAGGGTTAAAATTGATATTATGAAAATAGTAATTTCTTTTCTCTCTCAATCTCTCCACTTTTTGAAAGATTGAAAATAAGGCTCATAAGATAAATGAGTTTCTCTTTATTTTTTTTTATTTCTTTCCATTTCTCTCCACTTAACTTATCCAAACAAGTAAGAGAAATACATATCTCTTTATTTCTTTTCTTTTCTCTCTAAATCAATCAATCCAAACATAGCGTTAAAATAAAAAATAATATCATGAAATGTTTTATGTAAATTTTTTATTATAATATTTTTTTTATTATCTCTACTGTTACTTTAAAATAAAACATTTGTATTAATTAATTTTATATATTTTTAATTAGAGTAAATTATAAATACAATCTTTGATACTTATTTAAATTATAAATTATTCCCTAATTTTAGAAATTACATTATGTCTCTTAAGATTTTTAATTTCATAACAAATATGTCATTTTATTAATAAATTATCAAGTTAGTTAACAGTTTTTAATAATGTTAAAATTTTATTTCAATTAATAATTCAGATAATTTTATTATTGTATAGGTAAACAGTTAGAAATTTTATTTTTTCAACTAATTCTATTAAATAAAAAATTCTAATAGAGAGGTATTTGTAATTTTTCAAATCACATGAGACAATCGTATTTTAAGCAAACCTCAGGGGTGTATTTATAATTTACACTTTTAATTATTATCAAAAAACCTTATTCTTCTTTTTCATAAATTTAAAATGCTGTTACATTTCACCATCGCCGGACTTCTGTCAGACAGTTATCAGAGACTCAAAGGAATGTTTAATATCACCAGAAAGTCATCGAGCATTGTCGGAGTATCGCCGAAATGTTCTAAACGTCATTAGAAGTTGCCGGAATGTTCAGAACGTTCACTAGACGTCAAGAATATTATTAGAGACTCACTGAAATGTCCAGAATATTGTCCAAAAAAAGAATAAATTGAGATATTAGAGCGAAAAAACATTGCAAAATGTGATAAAAATTAATAAAGTGAAATAAATAAACAACAACAACAACAAACAACAACAATGAGAAAAACACATATTATTTTTCAATTTTTATAGGGTTTAATCAAATAACCTCCAATATTGATCAAACTGAAAAGCAAGTTTTGAAACTGTGAAGTGTTATAGTTTCAAAATATGATTCTATTAAGTATTTATCCTTATTAATCAAGTTAGAAAATGTGTGTGTCAATTTCCGACCACACTGCCAACTCAGTATTCAGTTGGAGAGCACTGGCAGAATAGATGGCGCCTGATTGACCTGCAACAGAAAGAAGAGATTCTGGCGGTGGTTCGTCTACCCGGGGGCACTTCGACGATCAAGTCAGTTATCTCTCAAAAATAGATCAAGTGCTTAACTCACTGTTCAGAATATAAATTGCGTACCTTAGACCCATGGGGGTGCCTCTCTTTTATAATCAACACAAACTCAGTCCCAGTAGAAGCCTAGCTTCAATGGAGTTCAGCTCAGTGCTTATCTTGGACTCTTCAATAAATAAAAATAAACTCCCTAAGAGCTTTATCCTTATCCAGGCTGAAGTCCTTCCTCATTCTAGGACTCTTGTCCCTTATCCGCTTATCCCGGATTCCAATATCTTCGGAGATAATCTCGGCCTAACCGAGATCACCTTGGCATCACAACCAGGACACGTGGCACCTCGGCTGACACGTCAGCGTCACCTTGGCCACGTGTTTGGTACTCAGAAAATATATCCCCACAACTGCCCCCTAGGTTCTATTACCTCGGCATCCTGAGGTGATGGAACCTATATCGTCATATCGTTTAGCACATTGGCTGTCTTTCTATATCATCCATTTACCAAGGTCATAATACGTCGGCTTCACACGACTAAGTCCAGCCGAGGTCGCTTGCTTCATTAAACTAAGAACTCCAAGAGTTTTATTGCGCGTATGAGTTGTCACGCAAAATAAATCAACCGTTTTCGCGACGCGTCTTCCCCTCACTAGATCGTACTCGATACACGCTAGTAAGTCGTCTCGCGCCTGTGTGCGCCGTCTGACCAATACGTCGTTCTAGGCCCATTGATGGTGTTTTGCCGGCATTCTCCGTGTTTTGATCAAAATCAATTTCTCTCTCTCCGTCTCTTCATTTTACAATCCTCATTCTCAAGCTCTCAACTCTCTCTTTTTCCAAAATACGCTATTGTTTCCAGATTTTCAAGCTCTGTAACAGCTTTTCATTCTTCTCCTCTGGTGAAGCTTTTGCTGTCCTTTTCTAATTGTAACCGTCTCCTGACTCTGGCGTCTTCAACACCGGCTTCACTCCTCTGGTAAGCTTCTGTTCCCTTCTGGTTTCTAGTTTTTGAGAAAGCTTTACCTTATTACTTGCTGCCATTGTTGTTCTGCTCAAGTTCCTATTTTATAAATCACGTATTTACAGCACATTTATTTTACGATTTTGCTTCTTGCCCCACACCGTTCTTTAATATACACATATACTTTGTTCATTCTACCACTGTTCTTGGCCTTACACCCTGGCACACACTCTGTCATAGTGTTCTTGATGATTCACCCCTTGTAGACGTCCCCGAACGTCCCGGGAGGGAATCCCCCCCCTGTTTTGTTCATTGGGCTCACTACAGTTCAGGACTCAATGTCACGATCCTGTATCTAATCTCGTAGAGTGCAATGCAAAACCGATGAAATCATCAAAGAGTCTAAATCTGGAAAATCATTTTTGAAAACAAAATTTTTAAAAGAAGTGCCAAACATGGACTGCTTTGCCAGATACAGAGTCGCCACCTAAATATTTTATTTTGGAAAATTTAGGAAACCCTGACTCGTTGCCTAAGGCCACGTGTCCGTCATCACCAAAGTTGCCTCGGCTCGGGAACTTGGGTACGATTGGGGAAGGTCACTTCGTGAGCACCCCCGCTCGCCCGATCAAAGATCGGCCTCTACTAACCATGATATCTAATTTTGAAAACATTATGTATTCTTATTCCGGTTATTAGCCTAGATTTACTATGTGGTACGCACAACATACAAATATAGACCGGATCGCCTGAATTGGAACAACACATCTCATGTTTGTTTTGAAATGGTTTGCTACTCGCAAGTAGGCTAAAATGTGGATTTGCCACCCTCAGGTGGGCTTAGAAAACAAGGTGATTTGCCACTCTCAAGTGGGCTTGAAACTTGCAATTGATGAATTGTTCCAATTCAAATAACCCAACCTTCACCCACAGGCATTCAGGCAGTTATATCACATAAGCACATAGCTTCATGGTAAGCATGCTATCATGGCTGTCACTCACACACATACGGGAATGCTAAAGCATAAGTACTTACCGAGCACTCCAAGCCAAAACAGAAGCTATGTTAGAAATCCATGCATGATCCTAACTATGCAGAAATGCCTAATGCAACACATGCAAAATTCAACTAAGATAGGCTCGACTATTCTAAGAATGGCATGTGAAATGCTACAACTAACACGTATTCAATTTGGAATTGAAATACAAATGCAGTTAGTATGATGTGCCGAGCCCGGTGCGTGCAAGACAGATGAATGAATGCAAACATGCTATCATACTGTATGCTAATTGAAACATGCCCTAATCTAACCATCATAAGCTAGTAAATAAAAGGGAGAAAGACGTGGGGTTGGAAAACATACATCACACACACGCACACTTATTACAATTGTGCCCTCGCTCGGAGGGTCTGAATAAATAATATACAATCCGAAATGAATAATTAAAATATTACAAAACCCTAATTAATTAACAAATTAACTAGGAAAGCGATAAATCGGCACGCAAATCCATGGACCGCCTCAGCTCTGTTCCAAATGGCGAATAATGCATGCTCGAGTTGCCTTGGTCGGGAAATTCCTTGCGATGCCCCGATTCGCCTCTGTTTGCAATTAATGCCGGAATGTTGTGCAAGGCTTTAGAAAGCTGTTGATTTCTGATTTGCCGCAACAGAGAGCAACAAAGGGGCATGGAAAAGTATTTTCACATATATATGCATGACTACTCTTCAGGGAGTGTAGTCCTTGATCCTCGTGCCACCAATCACGCATATCGATACATGATGGCCGAGGAGCCGAATTGCACGACTCAATATGAGATGAATGCACATGAAAACACAACAAGACCTAAACTCCATCATGGGTAATCCGGAGTGTCGGCGACGGGGAATTGAGACACGTTCCGTCACTCGGAGTACGAAACGTCCCTCATTTCCCATGCTTGGGCTAACTCCTATCCCAAACACAATGCAAATGAATGGCATACACAATGCAACTAACATACAACCTAGCATACGCAATGCTATGAAATGGCATACACAATGCATGATGGACTTACACCAACATGAGTGGACCTCAGCCACACTCACATCAGTAGCCATAAGATGAAAATGAGATAACCGAAATGCGTGCACACATGCACGCAAACCGAGGACCGAACCTAAGGCATTGAATACCACTCTACCAAAACATGGCAAGGATGAAGCATGGTATTCAAGCATGTAATTTTTAGCACTGAAACATAATGCTAAACGGTCCCAAAACATGGGAATATGGCACCCGATGCATGGAATAAGCCCCGAAACTCAAAACTAGTCCAATACATTGAACCACAAGTATACAAGAAAGAATTATTTGATCATGAAGTCTAAAGACAGAGCCAAGGCAGTCCTAAAACATGCATATTTCTAGTTTAGAGCATGGCCAA